GTTTCGGTGCAGTTTAAGGGTGCCGAGCTGTGAAAGAACCTGTTCAAAAAAAGAACATCAGCACTGCCACAAAGCCCCACTGCAAATTTAAAGGGTCCCTGCAACACTTTTCGAGCTTGGTCAGAAAACGCTGCCGATCGGTAGTCTAGGCTACCGAGAACACATGAGCCATGTTTATAGCGCAGCACGTGGCCTGCAATTCACAATAAATTCTCAAAGTCAACAAATAATTGCTCTCTTCTCTCGGTAAATGACGCCACAAGCTGAAAAAATCACTCGTTTCACAAATCATATCAGCCATTGGCTGATTTAAGCATGGCGAGGCTGCGACTTGTCCCTGTACGTGCTCGACTGCACTGAAAAACTGCTCATTTGAAAAAAAAAAAAAAAAGAAGAGAAAAAGTGCTTCAGGACACGAAGGCGTTTTTATTTTCCTATGCCATCCCTCCCTGCTCTGCTTTCAGCATTTTCATCGGAACAAGAAGAGAGAATTCTATTGCAGCATGCAACAAATCTTTGGAACTCGGCTCGCATTGAACGGATTCTAAAAACTTTTGCAATGGTAAATTCATAGGGCAATGAGCTCCTCTAGTGAATCGATGCTATGACTACTTAACAAAGTGTTGCAGGGCCCCTTTGAGGGGGGACGCACCCTTTGAAAACCGAAAAATCGCGCAAAAGTCGATTTTTTGAAAACCACACACTCGGGCAGTATGACTCATAAACTGCCTCTACTGTAAATATCAATGTCTAATTCATCGCGAAAGTACGTCAAATAAATTTTATAACATGCCGCGGCAGCCGGCAAGCGGCGAGCGGCGAGCGAGCGCCAAAAATACCCCAACTTCACGCGCTCGCCATTTCCCAACCGCTCGGCCGATCGCCGCCATCTTGATGTTGTTTTGCTCGTGAATTCTTGCGCTTTTTTTTTTTTCGCCACCCGCGGCAGTGGTGGTGGCGCTCCGAGGCGAGAGTCGCTCACGATTGGGGGGCTCGCGGAAGCTTTCAAATGTCCCGCTGCCTGGATGCGAAGCCGCGATTGGACAAAGCGCGCGCCTCTCGAGGGAATGGGGGAGCGCGCGGCTCCTATTGGCTGCTGCGCGCGATGACGTAGCTGCTTCTCCGGCATGCGTCGGCTCGTCGTCTGCACCGGCACTTGCAATGCCGGCGTTCTTTGTGTGCCCCGTTTGCCATCATTCCGATCGGTCGTCGCACGTGCTCCTCTATCTTTCTCCGTCTTCACGAGACGATCTTCCACCGTCTTCACGAGACGATCTTCTACCGTCTTCACGAGACGATCTTCTACCGTCTTTACGAGACGATCACTACCGTCCTCACGAGACGATCTTCCGCCGTGTTCACGGGACGCGGATTGTTGCGCTGACGGTCACGATGGGCATTTCGAAGTTCAAGACTCGGCACGCGTTCGGTTCAAGAAAGCGTCAGCTGAAGCTCGTACGCATGGCGAAGCTCACCTGCACGCCCACGCGCGGCGACAGTTGCACCGATGCTTCCGCTTCATCTTTTCAAGACGATTGCGTCGACGCTTCTAGCGACGAGACTTCTACACCATCGGCACAAGGATCCGTCGTGACGAGTGAGGCTGGTGTTTTGTGCTCAAGTGCGCCTGGTGTGTCGCGCTCGCCAACCGCATTGATTCCGGCCCCGAACAGTGAGACCGCGTCGTCGACTGTGCACTTCCAAACACGTTTTCGGACGTGCGAGGAGTTGGCGACGGCGGAGAGAGAACGTGCTGCTGTGCAACGAAAGCTTGGCGCTATGCCAGCGACCGAGAGGAAGTTTTAAGCGATGATGCCTGAACCCGAAGCTGCCACCGCTACGACCGAAGGCGAGAGATATTTCCTCGTGCAAGGGGATGCCCTTAGCGACATGCTGTCCAAGACCCCTTGCCCGCGCTGCCTCGCGACCGGGATGAAAGTTCAAGGAGGCACCCAGCTTGGACTTGCCACGAAGCTTGAGCTGGTATGTCCACATTGTGGAATAGTTTCAAGTTCGTGGAGCTCTGCTCGTCAGAATGAGTCAAGGGCCTTCGACGTGAATATAAGAGCCATTACGGCCATGAAACAAATAGGGAAGGGACAGACAGCCCTCAACGACTTTTGGGCAACTATGAATGTTTCCCACCGTGGCCTGCACCACAGAACTTTCCAGAGGCACCTGAAGCAATTCAGAGCACCACAGCAACAGACCCTGGATAAATTCTATGAAGAATCGGCTTCTGCTGTGAAAAAGGTGTACAAGGAGATGGACCCATCTTTCTGCAAGGACATTACAGTAAACTATGATGGCACGTGGCATAAGCGCGGACATACATCTCACATTGGAGTTGGTGCAATCATCGAGTATCACACAGGCCTCATCTTGGATGCTGTAGTTTTATCGAATCAGTGTCTCGGCTGCCAGGTAGGACCGAAGCCTGAAGACGAGGGCTATGCAAGCTGGTTGAAGCACCATGTGTGCCAAAAAAACACTGATGCCAAGCCTGGGAGGATGGAGGTTGAAGCAGCTGTAACTCTGTTCTCACGTTCACTGTCCAAGCATAACCTCCGGTATACAACCATTGTATCTGATGGGGACAGCGCCACATTCTCTGCCCTTCAACAAGACAATGTTTATGGGCTAGTCCCTATTGTGAAAGAAGAATGCTTGAACCATGTCCGGAAGAGGATGGGCACAGCCCTACGTAATCTTGTGCAGAAAAGCGAACAGGCTCTGGGAGGGAAGGGCAGATTGACAAAAGCCCTTATTGATAAACTCACAGACTATTATGGCTGGGCACTGCGGAACAATTCAAACAATGTGGCTGCAATGCAGCGTGCAGTGATGGCGTCATATTATCATGTCACCTCAACTGACGAGGATCCTCACCATGACTTGTGCCCGGAAGGTGCAGACTCGTGGTGCCGTCATAATGCCTGCAAGGGGAATGGCGTGCCACCTCCAAAGCACAAATACAATCTTCCGGGCTACGTTGCAGAAGCGCTGCTGCCAGTCTACCAGCGCCTTTCGCAGGCTTCTCTACTGCAACGCTGCCTGGGAGCAAAGACGCAAAATGCATCAAAGTTATTGATTTGATTGATATGTGGGGTTTAACGTCCCAAAACCACTATATGATTATGAGAGACGCCGTAGTGGAGGGCTCCGGAAATTTCGACCACCTGGGGTTCTTTAACGTGCACCCAAATCTGAGCACACGGGCCTACAACATTTCCGCCTCCATCGGAAATGCAGCCGCCGCAGCCGGGATGCATCAAAGTTATTCCATTCTGTCCTATGGTCCTTGATGCCCAAGGAGCAACATGCATCATTGATTGCTGTCAAGACAGCACTGCATGACGCAGTTTTGCGGTATAATGCCGGCTGCTACAGGGCCACCCAAGAGTTGTCGTCATCAGTGGGACTCACACCTGGCCACCTAACCATTCAACGAGCTGCGGAGAAAGACTCTCTGCGTCTGAGAAAGGCTCAGAAACAGATGAATGAGAAGCAGGAAAAGCGGCAAAGAAAAAGAGAGCCTAAGGACACATCTAGCTACTTTGCAGGGTCATTTTAGACTATAATAAATGTTTGAAACTTTCGAAGTCAATTTTCTCAGAATGACTTTTTTGGCCAGTGAGGCTGCTTAGTCAGGTGATCTCTCTGGAACTGCTGGTCTGATTTCTATCAGGATTTTTTTATTATGCCCCTTAATAAATTGCCCAGGGCAAGACAAGCCCGCTTTTTTAATTTATTGTGTCTGTAATTTGTAATAATTAAGTAAAACTTCATTGATGAGAGCCAAATTGTGAACACTAAATTCAGTGCTCTGCTAACATTTTTTGGCAAGGAAATTTAAAAAAAGGGCTCTGTCTTGCCCTAAAGCACCTATCCAGGAATCATCATAGTGAATTTCACAGTGCTAGCACATTTTTCAAATTCTCCAGACCCTGACTAAGGGACCCATGTGGACTACCCTGATAAATGGCTGTAACTTGGGAACCAGTGAACATAACTGCATGAAACTTTGTGGTTATTCAAATGGCTTTGCTATTAGTGTACCCTGAAAATTTCATTAAGATATCTCAACAAACAAAAAAGTTGCCCTTCGAAGGTAGCCTCCCCCTTGAGTGAACGTATTGCCCTCAAATCGATTCATCATTTTTTTTAAAGCTAGAATGCTTGTTATGCCTGCTTACATGCTCTAGGTATAATGAATTTCAAAATGTAACATATTTTACAGCTTATCATACCTACCAAATGTCAAATCCTACTACTATTTAAAGTTGTTCTGACTTCCATTGAACAACAACAACAAAAAAGGCATTAGTGTAGAGGCGTTATTTCAATTACAAAATATTGTGCAGGTTAGGTGATGATAAATATGCCCATTTTTCTTTATATGTCATGTATACTATTCGAATTCGATTCAAAATTATTTGACCAACATCACCATTACTTAGAACCTAAAAACTCGCTATTAGCATAGGCCTATTAAATAGAGTTGTCTGATAAATTTATTTCAGCAATATAAAAAATTACACATATCTAGACTGCACTTCCTGAAAAAATTATGCCCTTAAAGAGTTGGTATGAAAATAAAGAATCTTAGCAACATTCGCCGAGCATCCCACTTTCTCAGAGTTACCTCTGCATACAAAAAATTTGTGTGGCTGAGTAAACACACCTCCGAAAAACGATGTCAGTACCCTTTTAAAAATATACACGGTGTCCTCATAAAAAGTTGGAAACATCCCATTATGTGAAGGTAGAAAACCAGCAGGGGAGACAGACTGGCTTGATGAAGACAAGGCAGAGACACAGCATCAAAAGAGAAAAAGTTTACGTGAATGGGATAATCTCTCAAGTTCCTTGTTTAGTCAAGTGCAACGAAATCATTTGCTAAACAGCGCACAAAGTGTGTACCTTCATGAGGAATCCACGCTCTGGAGACATTTTGGTTCAGACACCATCAAATTTGGACCGACCGAGCCTAGACGCACCTGTAGAAGGACCACTTGAGCAGGAACTGTCGGGCTGCACGGGGCAACTCAGGTCGTCCTTGGAACGGCTCCAGCACTTGGTCGACCACGCTGTCCAGCCAGGCGGCCCACTGCTCCAGCGACGTCTGCTGCTGTAGGGTCAGCTTGAAGTCTTGCTCCAGCTGGCGCACCAGGCTGTCATCACACTGGCACACCCATGATGCCTGTTCCTGAAAGGGGACAATAGTACGTTTATCTGAAGCAAGGCCTCCTCTCTACAAAACACCAGACCATCTGTGCATGCGCCAATGTCTCAGTTGTAGTTTTTGGAGCACTTTTGGGGCGGCCTCAGGTATGCTGGCGTTTTGCACCAATGCTCGGCATGCAAGACAAGTGAGCGCAGTGGAAAACTGTGCTCGTACTTCCGATGTATCTCATTTTATGTTAAGCTGTATCTTAGCACGAAGAACACTCGATACTGCTTACATGTCACCAGGTCGTCTTGTTACGTTGATGAGATGCTTTGCTGAATAAATATCAGTAAAAAAAAAGGGACGTTCCCACAAGAATAGGAATAAAAATCTTCAGCGAACATCACAGGCTACAGCATCCAGAAAATCACATGGCCAAACTGTGTAGAGCTCTCCACTATCCCAAAAATGGGCGGGAAGGAAGGCAGGCTGAAGAGAAGGAAAAGCAAACAGCTTTTTGGCCAGTAAACAGGCTTCAACCTTTTTTTTATACCCCCCCCCCCCCCCAAAAAAAAAGCTCGCCAATTCATACAGTAGACGTGGTGATCCCATTTTGACGTGATAGCATTAAGGGCCTGTTTTGCAGAAATTTACAGTGTCGACATCATTGGTTGTGAGCGAAAAATTGAGAAAGGTGCAAATAAAATAAATTATCCGAAATTCAGGGTCTGAACAAGAATGAAACCCGGGCCATTTGTGTGGCAAGCAAGTGATCTACTATAGAGCGAGGTGTCTGCTTAAAAATACAGTGAAAATAACTTTCTCTGCTTGAAAATGCAGTGAAAGTAATTTGCACGTTTAACCCTTTCAGATGCCACCCAAGAAAAACTGTCTGCAAATGTGTCAAATCACTACAATGTTACCTCCAGGCACTCAATATTCTATTGCAAAAAGAATAATGACATAATTGTTGAATATATGCATGTTATATTAACTTGTTCTAATTAAATTGTAATAAAATATTAAATATCCTGAAGTAATTATTTTTGGCATAAACAGAATCAAATCTCAGACCAGAAATACAATACAAATTATTTTTGGTTATGTCAGTCCTGAGCATAAAAAAATTTTCCTTTTCACATTGCTCGCAAAAAGCGGTACGTCACACAACTCCTCGAGCATGGTAGTGCCTTCAGAAAAGTGATCGTATGTATCAATACACTGCGAAATAAGGTTCAATGAAGACCAAATTATTATGCACGGGATTTAATTTATCCAAAGTAGGACATATGTCGCTCTCTTTTAGCAACTACTTGATGCCATGGCCCTCAGTCCCTAGCAGCTGCGAAGCAACTGACCATGGCAGCGGTCAGATCTGCAACGCAGCAGAGGGTTATAAGAATCTCTGAATCTGGACAGGCCACCACTGGAACCTGAACTTGGCCACGTTTAAAGCTAGAACCTTATCTAGTGAGGCAAGTCTAGCTGTACTATTCGAGAAGCTAGAGAGAGAGAGAGAGAGAGATAAATAGAGAGGAAAGGCAGGGAGGTTAACCAAGCTTGGCTCGGTTGGCTACCCTACACTTGGGGTGGGGGAAAAGGAGAATAATAGAACGGAAAGAGATAGAAACGAAAAGGAGTAAGAAAGAGAAGCATGAATAGTCAGCTCGAGACTACACAGCACGGTCTCGCACAGTTCTTTCACAAGCGGTCCTGAAGTCTGGTGGTCCTTAAAAAGTACAAGAGGGCTTTCGTGGCTTTGCGCGTATGGGAAGCCATCGGCCAAAGTCCCAGAATCTTCTCTTCTGTAAGCGGCCGTGAATCCAGCTGACAGAGTTTGGCTTCCATGATACGTCGTTCGGTCTGGTATGCTGGGCAATGACATAGAATGCGCTCAAGCGTTTCCTCGCAGGCGCAGATGTTGCATGCCGAAGTTCTCGCCGTTCCAAGGAGACGAGAGTACGAATTCGTAAATGCCACGCCCAACCTCATGCGACACAGTAAAGTTTCAGCGCATCGTGGGAGCCCGGATGGCAAACGAAGTTGCAAGTTTCAGTCGATCGAATACAGGTGCGTGTTGGAGAAACTCTGCGTATTCCATTGTAGGAGAGATATACGGCGAGCAAGTGATTGTAGTAGCCTTGCAGCGTCCGTTCTCAAGAGTGGTATGGGCGTGCGCTGGTCTTGGCGCCATGATCCGATCGAGCAGCTTCATCCGCGCGGTCATTGCCGACGATTCCGCAATGACTCGGCAACCACTGAAATACAATATCGTCAACTTCCGTGAGCGCTTCGTTGTAGTCGTGCCTTATCTGATATACTGATTGTTCATGTAACCCGTGCTACATAACAAACCGTAGTGACTGTAAGGCTGACCTGGAGTCGCAAAAGATGGCCATTGGTTAGGTTGCTGGCGAAGAATGTACTTTACTGCACCTTGAAGTGCTGCGAGCTCTGCTGCTATCGACGTCGTGGTGTGAGAAAACTTGTACTGAAGCAACACATTTTCAGATGGAACAACCACTGCTCCTGTAGAGCTGTTGGAATTAGTGGAGCCATCGGTGTAAACATGTATGCGGTCGAAGTACCTTTCGTCCAACAGATGCAAAGTCAACTGCTTCAGGGCTAGCGTTGACATGCGTGCCTTCTTAAAGATTCCAGGAACTGATAAGCGCACGTCAGGTTGACGAAGACTCCATGGCGCAGTTGCTGGATGCATCGCAAGTTTGAAGCCAGGCGGTAGTATGTCCTGATGTTTTGTCACGATACCGCAGTACGAAGAATGGGGCCTTCGAGCTGTCAAACACGCTAAATTATGTGACGGTAGCCGTGATAAATGCCGAATGTGCGCTCTCAGCGTCTCGACAATGATATGCGTTGTGACCGGTTGTTCTTGTGCAATAACAATAGTTGACACTGTCGATGAGCATCTTGGAAGGCCAAGGCATGTCCGAAGTGCTTAGGCTTGTACGCTTTGCAGTGCACGGATGTTAGTCTTGCATGTGTTGGACAGGACAGGAAGGCTGTACCGGAGAGTTCCGAGAAAGAGGGCTGTGTAAAGCTGCAACATGGAGTGCATGAATGGGCCCCATGATTTTCCGGCGATGAACTTGAATACATTCTCAATGCCAATGAGCTTTTTCTGCAGGTATGTGACATGCGGGCTCCAGGTCAGGTCACGATCTACGATGACACCTAAGAATCTATGAGTGCTCTTATATGGGATTGATCTGTCATCGACGCACAATGAGTAGAAAGACATCGCTTTGGGTGTGAACGCCACCGCTGCGCATTTTTCTGTGGCGTCAAACCTTGCTGGCAAAGGTATGTCCATGTCATTGTTGCCGCTTTCTGTATTCTTGCGCGCACTTGAGGCCGTGTCACGCCGGACGCCCAAATGCAGATATCGTCAGCGTAGAGAGATATATAAGCCGTCTGTGGCAGCTTTTCGGTGAGCCCCACGAGAACCAGGTTGAATAGAGTTGGACTCAAAACACCGCCTTGTGGCACCCCACAACTTGTGAAATACTTATTCGTAGACCCATCTTCAGTTAAAACGAACATTGATCTCTTTGTGAGGTAGCTTCTTACCCATCGAAAGACACGACCTCCAAGTTCAGCTGCTTCAAGAGCATTGAGAACAGCCTCGTGGGTCATGTTGTCATAGGCACCCTTCACGTCTAAGAACAGAGCTACCCACAGCCGCTTCCGAGCTTTCTGATGCTGAACAGAGGTCGTTAAGTCAATAACGCTATCAACTGAGGACCGACCTCGTCGAAAACCAGCCATAGCATCAGGATAGATGTTATAATGTTCCAGGTACCATTCCATGCGTGTAAGCAGCATCCTCTCCATGACCTTGCCAACATAGCTTGATAGTGCTATAGGCCAGTATGATGCCAAATCGAATGGAGACTTTCCAGGCTTCAGCAAAGGCACCAGGCGACTACACTTTCACCCATCAGGCACCATTCCATCATGCCAAGACTTATTGAAAATGTCCAGGAGACAGCGCTGTGCCTTCGGGCCTAGGTGACGTAGGGCAGTATAGGTCACTCCATCCAGACCTGGGGACGATGAGCGTCTGCATGTGTTCAATGCCGCATGAAGTTCTTCCATGGTGAATGCAACCTCCATTTGCTGATCTCGTGCGACTGGAACATCCTGTGTCAATAAATTGATCGGTATAGAGATGTCGCCGGCGATCTTTGCACAAAATTCCCCAGAAACATCAAGCTGTGAGCGACGTTGATGTAGCGCCAGAGCGGCGTAGGGATGGCGCTGTTGCGGATGCGAGTGAATATCTCGAAGAGTCCTCCATACAGGAGACAAGGGCTTTCGAGGGTCTAGCGAGTCACAAAAATTCTTCCACTGTTGTTCATGAAGTTTGTGCATACGACGCTGGATTTTTTTCTGAATGCGTCTGGATTCTCTGAGGTCAGAGATAGATTTCGTGCGTCTGTATCGTCTTTCGGCACGTCGGCGGACCGCTCGTAGTTGTTCCAACTCTTGGTCGAGTGCCATGCGTCTCGATTCTTTTGAACATATCTTCGTGGAAGTCTCCATTGCACAACTAATCACTTCTTCAATGGATTCCGGCGGTTCGTGCATACACTTGCTCTCCACTGATATCTGAAACTCTTTCCAGTCAATAAGTCTTGAATGTCCAGGGGAAGGAGAATCGTCCAGACCTCTGACTGTCACGTACGTGGGGATATGGTCGCTGCCATGTGTTTCAATATCTGTGAACCATTGGACTTTCGTGACAATGCTACGCGACACTAATGTCAAGTCCAGGCAACTGCTGTAAGTTACTCCTCGGAGATAAGTAGGGCTGCCGTCGTTCAGCACCTGAAGCCCGTGCTCTGATGCGAGATCAACTAGGTTCGTGCCTTTTCGATTTGTCCTAGAGGGTGTTAAATGGGATATAATAGGCCTCAGTAAGGTTAGCAGGACAGATGAGGCCTATACGGAGCTACAGAAAGGGCATGTCCTTCGCTATCGGGGCTTGGCTGACAGAAGAGAACTGGGAGTGGGGT